CCTAACTCTAATTACCTTAAAAGTAATAAATAAATTAATAATTTTGTTGATTTTCAATGTCTACAATTAGGTGTTCATGTCTCTTGCAGCAAAATTCCCATTTAAGACAAGCACATATGAGACACGCTGCCAAAATGGGACTCGCAAACTGGTTGAAGAGCCGATTGAATCCATAGTGGAAAAACACAACAGAACATCAGAATCAGTGATTCTATCTCAAGATTCCCTTGATTTTTGTACAATTCAAGCTGTTGATGAAATTATAATCAAATACTAACACATCCACTTTTGTTTCTTTAGAAAATGCTTTGAATCCTCAAGATAATAACATGTACTAAAAAACTTGTAATTTCTGCCTTTTTTTAGTTTCTCTTTTGGTTCTCATCACAATGCTTATAATTTTTATGCACTCAGACTTAACAACCAACCATTGGGCAATAAGATTCTTGGCAAGGAGACACTTAAAAAGAATAAGGTTAGATTCTCTACTTACTTTCTTTTTTTTTCAAACAAATTCAATTTTCAAATAGTATAGTAGCTTTTAGTTTCTAATAGCTTATAACTTTGGATATGTAGGCTTAGAACTGATGTAAGCAATTGTTTTTGCAATTTAAGTTTTACTTTACTTCATAATTGATCTTTTTCTTTAATCCTTTATTGGTTTCTTACAGGAAAGAGGGATTCTTAAAGAAAGTTAACATGCTCAATAAACTATTCAGTCATGACAACATGAACAACGCAAGGTCACAATACATACATGATGTTGAAATACCAAAAACACCCCTGAGTTTTCAATGCATGTAAAGCCCCTTTAAAATCTGTGCAGCTTCATTGAACTAAGCAGACTAATGGATAGTTATGTTGGATTGACAAGATAGATTTGATTCAGATGTGATTTTGTATAAGGACACTCTGAATAATTGTAAAAATTATAAACCGATTATAAATTCAAAAGAACCTCCATAGTAGCTTTGTTATGAATCAAAAGCAAAATATTGAAATTACAAATTTCTATCTTGTAGGTTTGGTGATAAACGTGGCTGAGTTGATCGAAGGTTTTTTGTTTTTGACAGAATTCGAAGAAGTTTTTGACATTGTATCACACATGGTCTTTTTCCTGCTGATAATATCCAGGGATATGTGGAGTATTTGGCCATTACTGTTAGGATCGAGACACTTAACACACGACTCTAAACACACACACAGCTCACGAAAAACAAGAACACAAGGATGAACATGAGGGATTTAACGTGGTTCGGTCCTTCTCTGACCTACGTCCACCGGTAACTAGGAATTTACATTTCTTGGTGCTAATCTGCACTCTTTCTGTGTTACACTAGATACAAGTTTTACAAATACAGATGAATCTCTTATATAGAGATGGAAATCAGAAGTAGTCAAAAAACACAACCGGGTCTTCAGCCAACCTTTGAAAAAACTTCACATTCAACAATTGTGGCTTCACAACTTCACATTGTTCCTGCCATTTTTGACCAACTGTGGCTTCACATTCAACAATCTCCCACTTGAAGCCACAGAACAATCTTCACCTGTGCTTCAACTGTGCATCTGTATTTGATCTTAACTCCTTCCTAGTTACCCTGGCCTTCTCTTCAATTAACCTGAAGGCCAGTTGAAGCTTTCGTTAGCTCCAACGCATCAGTCATGGCTAAGTCTGCCACTGACCTGTTCTCTGTCTCCACCGGCTCCCACTGAAATGAACTGCCCGATCCTGGAACATCCTGAGAACAAACGACACTCTCCATGTGAAGCAGATAATCTGGAGAGACTTTTACAGATGGAATACTGGTTCTCTTAACCCACTGTGTTCTGGGTATTCTAGCTGAAACAAAGCCCATGCTCCCACTGCTATGAATGCCCCTGACTGGTTTTTCTGAACCGTTCCAAACACGTTCAACCTGAATTTGACCTGTGACTCTGGGTTTGCCATCTGCAAAGCAAACCTTCTTCTGTCCACGAGACTCTATGAACCGAATTTTGTTTTTCTTCTGAACTGGGACGGTTACTCCCTCAGACGGTAAACTAACCATATATAATGAACCCCTCTTATGTCCACGAGCGATCACAAGATTTCCTTTGACAACCTTCCACTGCCCATTCCTGAACTTAACCTCGTGCCCCTGTTCATCCAACTGCCCAACAAAAATCAGCTGTTTCTTCAGACTTGGAATTACCCGGACATCCTTCAAAGTCCATGGACCGACTGGAGTCTTCAGATCTAAGTCACCTATGCTCGTCACATCAAGAACCTCATCGTTCGCCAGTCTTACCTTACCAAAATCCCCTTCTTTTAGATTCCGCAGTGCTTCACGGATGTGGGTAGCGTGAAATGAAGCACCCGAATCCATAACCCAGGAATCCACATTGCTCTCCACACTACATATCAAAACATCATCATCTGAATGGCCTACTGCAACGTTAACTTCTTTCCTGTCTTTTGGACATTGATTCCTGAAATGTCCAACCTCTTTACAGTTCCAACAAGTCACATCATTTCGAGTCCTCGACTGACTCCTTCTCCTGTTCCCGCTCCCACTACCTCTGTTATTTCTTCTACCTCTGACCGCATTCAATTGTTCACTTGATGATTCCCCGGAATTTCTTCGTCTGACGTCTTCGCCTAGAATTAAATCCTGAATTCCCTCAAAAGTGAGCTCTTTCGATCCTGCGGAACTAGTAACGGCTGTAACTGTTCCGGACCAACTGTCAGGTAATGATGATAACAGTAGTAAAGCTTGAACTTCGTCCTCAAATTTTATTCCCACTGACCCAAGTCTGGATAAAATCGAGTTCAAATTGTTGATGTGTACTGTAACTGAACTTCCTTCCCTCATCCTCGTGTTGACTAGTTCCCGAATCAGGAAGACTTTATTTGCTGCCGACGGCTTCTCGTACATATTAGACAATGCCTCCATGATTCCCTTTGCCGAGGTCTCCTTCAAAATGTTGAAGGCAACATCCTTTGACAACGTCAGTCTAATAAATGCCTTGGCCTTCTTATCCAAAGTCTCCCAGTTTGCCTGTGTCATCGCCTCCGGTTTTTCACCTAAAACTGCGTCCAAGTCTTTCTGCACGAGCAAATCTTCAATTTGCATCTTCCACCAACCAAAATCTTTCCCATCAAACTTCTCAATCTGAAGCTTACTCCTTTCTGCCATTTTCTGAAAGAACAATGACCTATCTTGCAAGTTTCTGGAAATTCAGGGGCCAAATTGCAAATTTTCAAATCTGCTACAGTTTTGCTACAGTGCCTGCTACAATGTCTGCTGACGTCACCGCTGACGTCGTGCTACAGTTCCTGCTACAGTGTCGTCTTCTCTGGCGAGTTCAGGCGCTACAGTGCCGTCTTCTCCGGCAACTGGTTTTCCGATCACTATTCCGGCAAACCTTTGACCGGCGATTTTGGACGTTTTCCGGTGGTCAAAAAATTCAGAAAAAAATATTTTCGGAATCTTCGGAACGAGACCTTTCCAACGGTATACACCAAAATCGTTTTTGACGAAATTTTTTTTTGACCAAAAAACTGAAAATCACCCTTTGGAGCTAAAACCAAAGCTCTGATACCACTTGTTAGGATCGAGATACTTGACACACGACTCTAAACACACACACAGCTCACGAAAAACAAGAACACAAGGATGAACATGAGGGATTTAACGTGGTTCGGTCCTTCTCTGACCTACGTCCACCGGTAACTAGGAATTTACATTTCTTGGTGCTAATCTGCACTCTTTCTGTGTTACACTAGATACAAGTTTTACAAATACAGATGAATCTCTTATATAGAGATGGAAATCAGAAGTAGTCAAAAAACACAACCGGGTCTTCAGCCAACCTTTGAAAAAACTTCACATTCAACAATTGTGGCTTCACAACTTCACATTGTTCCTGCCATTTTTGACCAGCTGTGGCTTCACATTCAACAATTACTAATTGGATCTATAAAGCCAACTTATATCGATGTCTCACTTCCTAATCCTAATGACAACACATCATCACATCCTACTGCAGATTCTGGTGATGTCATACTTAAGCTCGGACTTTTTGAGAGGTAAACTTTCAATCTTGCTGATGTCATTAATGAACTGATCAATAGAAAATTGTATTGGGTTAATTATTGTGTAGATCTGATATTGCATGGAAGGATGCGAAATATGCACAAATATGGGAGTATTTAAGAGATGAATTTGAGTTGACTCAACGATTTGTGAGTTTGGATTTTAAGTTGAAGTTTGTGGAGGTAAAGTGGTTTTTTATATGGAAATTTGTTTTGGTTATTTGGTGAAACTAAGGGGTGATGTATTTTGATTGCAGCATAATATTCGGTTTCTTCAAGAGATTTTGTAGAACAGGAAATCCAATTTTTTGGAGTGGCTGATTATAATATTAATAGGTGCTGAAATTCTTATATCTGTTTATGACATTGCTCATAAATCTGTCACATCCCTATAAAACAATGTATATATGGGTGAAAGTGGCTAAATTATTTAAGTGTGTGACTTGGAATGTTAGTTGATGTTTGTTATATAATTACAAATAAAATAAAGTTCAAGAAAATAGTTGTTTGATTCCTGTAGGTGTGAATGTGATAGAGGATCTGATTATATTGGAAACTTTGGATACGATTTGTTTCTTTCTACTGACTTAATGGGAACACTACTCAATTTGAGAAACTTTATTGGTAGTGGAATTTAACAATCAACATTATCTGCTAAATATTTTTTAGGTTTATTATCAATTGGAGAACTTGAGTAGAGCAGATCCTCCATACAAATCTGTTGTTGCATTAAACTTTTGAGTTGACTCCCGACATCCATTCATACAATGCTCTCTTAACTGCATTTGGAAAGCTCCATAAGGTTTTAATAATCTTTTCAACTCATATAACCTAATTTCTTCTGTAAATCATATTTTTTGTTTGTAGAGAGATGAAGCAGTTAGAGTGTTTGAGCACTTAGTAAGCTTAGGAGTGAAGCCTAATGAGAAAGAATATTATAAATTCTGCAGCAAAGCCAAATTACATGTCTGCGGGGCAGATTAACGTGCCCATTGTTTTTAGGGGACCAAATGGCCCTGCTGCTGGTGTTGGTGCTCAACTTTCCCAGGTCAACATTTTATCATTAAACTCATAAATACCAAAAAAAGAATTCATGTCCTTCCAAATTTATACTCTAAATAAATGTATATCAAACGTTCAAAAAAACGTAAATACCATATAACTTAGGTAGTTTAGAAATTTGTTAAAAGTAATAAATTGGTTTGTTTATCTGATGTGATGGATGCAGTGTTATGGTGCATGGTATGGATCAGTCCCTGGTTTGAAAGTTGTTGTACCATACTCCTCTGAAGATGGCCGTGGTCTTCTAAAATAAAAAAATGTTCAGGTATGGTGAATTTCTTCAGATATCACCATCACTGCTTTCTCTAAGATGGTTGGCTATGCTCTTAAGGTTTCTTTCTTTCATCTATTTATTAGTTAGGAAAAAGGAACACTATAAAAGTCAAAATATTTCCCTTATTCATAGGATAATGCGTTTAGGGTGTTGGTGCTGTTTGGCACTTTCTTTCTGTTGGAACTATTTTTTTTTCATTTTTATTTATAGAATTTTAGATGGCAAATCGTTTTTAAGCATTTTATGATCATAGTTAACTCATGATTTTATTTCCAAAAATATTTTTATTATTATAAAGTTATTTGGATTGTAATGAGCATTTATGATGTTTAATTTCTGAATTCTCCAAGTATAATCAAATCAAATATCAAATAATAATAATAGAATAGACTTGTATTTACATTTTATCTGGATAGTGGTATGAAAAATAATATCATTGTATTCCTACCAAACATGATCATGATCTCATGGAATGTCCCATTACCTTGGTTATTTGTTTCCTTCAACCAAACAGAACAACAAACCCTTTTGGATCCCTCTGTTGTAGTTGTACTCCCAACAAACATGATCATGATCTCATGTGTGCTTTTAATACTCAACTTTTACTGTATAATGTTTTATGTGCTGTGAATTGCCACCACAAAAAAAAATTGTTTTTTGCTTTTCTTTTAGTTTGTTGTCTTTCGGTATTCCATTAAGTGTCGTATTTAGGTCTTGGACCATGTCATAATTTATTAATTTATTGTCACATAATATATTAAAAACACAAAAATATGATATTTTAATTTTCTTTACACACTGTTGCTTGAGACTCTACATTCCAACCCATTATTAGATGTCATTTACCAATTTAATGTAACCCATTTATGACCCACTTTAGTCATTTACCAACAAATGATGGTTTGCATGTCAGTTGAAGTTATTAACATTACCTGTCATGTCTTAACAACTATTAGGCATGAACATTCAATGTATTAATCCTGAAGGCCTTGCAAGTTTTCAGGCTAGGTTCTTCTACTAATTTTCAATTCACTGCTTTTTTTTAACTTATTTATCATATTGGGTAAGTAGAAGAAAATCTGTAAATATATTTTTGAATTTATGCATATTAGAGTATTAGTACAACAATCTTTTTGTTGATTTGGGAAGTCCGCCATACTATATTTATTATTCATATAAGTTAATAATCTTTTATGCAGATTTTGAGAGACTTGAAACATGCTTTTTGGCCTTTTCAAGTTGACCAAAGTAAAAGCCCATTTCTAAGAGTAGAAGAGGCTGCTAACTGCTCTGATAGATCTGCATTTATTGAAAAAAGGTCCCTTTTAACTCCTGTTACTCTTTCTCTTAGATAATAGATGAACAAAAATTTCATCATGAATCCTGAACTGTGTTTTTATATTTATTTATTTATTTTGGGTGTGTTTACATTTTACAGTGGATTGGAGGTGTCTAAAAAGCTGAAAACTCTTACATGCTTATTGTGTTAATATTTTATGCAAGTATGGGTTGTATTGAAGCCTGGATTCTTGGAAAAAGGTATTTTACTACATGTGTATTAAATTTTAATATTTTATAACATACATTGATGATGCTTGAAGCCTTTCTGAATACTAATGTGTTGATGAAAACATGTATCATGTGAAAACAGAATCATAACAATAAGAAGTAGAAACAAGAAGGTGTTCCTTAATAGCAATGTAGTATTAGGTTATATGGTTAGGGAAAAACTCTTAATAACAATGTACAATCGGCTCCCCTTAATACAATGTATTACAATTTTTTGACATGATGTTATGGATGAAATTGATTGTTTTGGTATATATTTGTTTCCATATTTTTGTATTATGCGTAAATGAGTATCGTAAAGACGCGTCGTAAATGTATATCGTAAATGGTTGCTGAAGTTTATGACACACAAATGCGTGTCATCTTCACTTATGAAAGGGGCTTTAATGATACACAATGCGTGTCCTAAACGTGCGTCGTAAGGTTACGACACGCAAATGTGTGTCGTCTTCCTTTATGACAGAGGCTTCCTTGATACACTTTGCGCGTCGTAAATGCGCGTCGTCTATAGACGACGCGCAAAAGCGTGTCGTCTCTCGTTATGACAGAGCCTTCCTTGACACACATTTGCGCGTCATCTGAGCGTGTTACGACAAGCATTTCACGTCGTAAAAGGCTATTTTTCTAGTAGTGTGCGGGTGTTAGATGTATAAGTGTTCGGACATTGGATGTTCAAGAGAAATGTACTTTCGCATGGGTTGTGTTCGGTCAGAGTTCAGTGGTGCTGCAAGATTTGAAGTAGGAACGAGGATTCGTTAGCTAGGGTGAAGATAAATGCCTCCAATTATTAGCATGGTAGATGGATTGAAGTGTTAGACTGGACCAGATTTCAAGAGTACTCTTCAAGATTTTAGAGGATGGGCGATCTCAGGTTTTAACTGGTGATTGATCACCAACATTGGTAAGCACAGATTGTCATCGGCGGATTACTGGAAAGCAAGAAGGACTGGGGATCCTTCAATTCTCACGAGCCGTGAAGACTTAGCCGAAGCTAAGTGGGGGAGAATCGACAAGGTACTCAAGAGCAGAAATAGGTGTGAGACTAGGATGAGTTTCGCATCCCCGTCAGGGAGGAAGGCGGTTGAGTAGGCGTCTAGATTGAGGATTAGGTGAGTTGGGAGTTCAGAAAAATGTTCCAATGTTTGGGTCACACTTTTCCTTGGCATCAGATAGCATGTTTCGGAAACCAGGTTAGAGTTCAAGATAGGACTCAAGTTTAGTTGAGTGTTAGGTTGAGTGCGTGTTCGACCGGTATGGAAAGTGTTGTAAGACTGCGGGGGTATCCGTAGCATTCACTAGCGATCAGGTAGTATGGAAAGTGTTGTAAGACTGCGGGGGTAGCCGTATCATTCACTAGCGATCAGGTAGTATGGAAAGTGTTGTACGACTGCGGGGGTAGCCGTAGCATTCACTAGCGACCAGGTAGTATGGAAAGTGTTGTAAGACTGTGGGGGTAGCCGTAGCATTCACTAGCAGCAGATAGTGTTGGAAGTGTTGTAAGTCTACGGGTGCAGCCTTAGCATTCACAAGGTTAGTAGATAGTGCTATAGTGATGTAAGTCTGTGGGTGTAGCTGCAGCCTTCACTTGGTTGGTAGATAGCATGAGCGCATTTTTAGGACGGGGAAGGAACATTAGTACCTACCAGTTCGGGTGTAGCAGTGAGGATATAGAAATCCATGGGTTGGATTTCAGGATTTCCCAGATGGATTAGACCTGATTGATCTAGTGATGAGGCTGTAGGAACGCCACTACGGTTATGAGGTCAGGGAAGCAATGGACTGCGTAAGGTCAATGGGATATTAGGCTACCATTGGTCGGGTAACAATCACTTTTAGCCTTGGATTTGGTGACGTCAGGGTTCGACGCATGGACCCGATCGGTTGGATCGGGAGGTTGTTAGAGCCACAATGGCATGATAATTGGTGGCAACTAGTTCCAGAGGAGGATTCCGCTCAGAAGTCGCATGGAGCAACTGTATGTGAGCCTTTTGGCTCCATAATCGGGTTGGAACCCAGTATTTCAGATGATTGTCGAACGAATTGAGACCAGGAAGGCCTCAGCCGATTTTGGAAAGCAATCATGTAGCAACATGTTGTTTTAGACAATTTCAGAGACTGGACAGTATTAGTAGTGATGTTTTAGGTTACATATACAAACGGAATAGCTGGTTGAATGGGAAGTGACAAGTTACTCACAGCGGGATTAACTGAGCCTTGGCCAAGTATGAGGGATATGCAAGGATGATTGGGTCTGTGACCCTGTCTTGTAGTGGGGACCTTAAATTATCAGAAGTTTAGTAGTCAGTTGAAGGATAAGCGGGCCGGGTTCAACGATACTGATGCAGTATGAACGGTCTGTCAGGGAGTCTGACCACCTCGAGACTGCAGATTTCAGATAAAGTAGACGTGATTCCGTTGCAAGAAATTTGTTAATATGTGGATTTTAGGGCTTTGCGAAGATTGGTCACGGCTACCCTGGGAGGACTAGGGTGTGCCCAGGATGGTGACCATGTTACTAGAATGGTTAAGCGTGTAAGTAATGGTAAGGAATGATTTCGAAGACGAAATCTAATTTAAGTGTGGGAGAGTTGTAACACCCCGTTTATTTAATAAATAAATAAATAAATTAATGATTGTATAATAGCCCTAAAATCAATAATTAAGTAGCAAGGTGTTGGTTTTCGGGAGCCAAAGGTTACAATTTTAGAAGTCGGGGGTTAAAAGTGTCAGTTCCAGATTAGTTTTGTAAATATTTATGAAGGCAGGGGCTATATGGTAACTTTTGGGACTTCATTTGAAGAGATTTTGGAGGCTAAGGGACTGTTTGGTAATTATTGTACCTAAATTGCAATGGGTTTTAATAGTGAGGGATGTTTAGTAATTTGTAGGCTGAATTTGAAAAGGTTTTCAGGAATGAGGGTATATTTGGTAAATTATGGACTTAAGTTGAAGGGAATTTAGATGGCAGGGGTTAAAAAGGTAAAATATGGATCTATTTTGAAATAAATGGGAGCTGGAGGGACCATTTTGGTCATTATGGCAAACTTTTTAGTGGAGTCGGGTATATAAGGTTCCGTAACCCTAACCCTAAAGGGGTGTGCAACCGTCACCCTCCAACCGTATGCCTCCCTTCACACCAGCCACCACCCTCACTTCAACCATCTCCGGCGCCACCCTCCCCGTCGCTGAAACACCACCCATCGTGCCTTGCTGTCGGCGGCAACGAGGACTACCGGCGATGCTATGAGCCCGCAACCACCTCTCCGTCATTCTTCTACTTCTTCTTTTCTTTTCTGTTGCTGCTCACAGCCGCCCTCAGCTGTTGCCGGTGCTTTTTCCGGTCACCCTATGCTCCTGACGTTATTCCACAGCAGCCCCAGCCGCCTTTCGCCATCTGTTAAGGCGTCAAT